CACACACACACACACACACACACAAACACACACACACACACACACACACACACAGACACACACACACACACACAGACACTCTCTGACACACACAGAGACACACACACACACACACACACACACACACACACAGACACACACACACACACACACCAAGGCCTATTAATAACCCAGTTGTCCTAGAGAAATGCCACTCCACAAATCCCAACACAACAGCCAACACACCAACCAACCAACCAACGTTGACACCACTCTCACTGCCAGCACAAAGCAAGAGAGCAGAAGCGAAGATGGAGCCAACGACAGAGGACGCAGCGCCGTCGTTCACGACGATGCTGTTCAAGACCATCAGCATCGTATGTGATGTGATGTGTCGTGATAGGGGAGAGGGGGGAATGCAAATGCAAATGCAAGTGCAAACGGCGCGATCGGGGTGCCTCCTTGTGCTTCTTCGCTTGGCACTGTCGCGATGCATACTGACCTGTGCATCCGTGGTCATGCTTGAATGCTACGCGCGCACACACGCACACCCACCCGCACACATATAAACACACACACACACTACACGCACACACACACACACATACACACATACACACTGCATACGCACATACACAGCGGTATCAGCTCTTCATGGACTCGATCACGCCGTGGGTTGCGCCGCGATGGGCTTTTAGTGTCATTTCGCTCGTCCTGTTCATGACACGCATCTTCGTGCTTCAGGTAGTGACATGCCGATGTTTGCGATACTTGCGTTTGCGAGTGATGTTTGCAGCTGTGTATGTGTGTGTGTGTGTGTTTGTTGCCAAGCTGTCGGAGTTGTGGTTCCTGCTTCTGGCCTCACCGCTGCTGTGACGCATGCTGCTGCCACACGGCTCTCACTGCTCTGGCGCACGCACATGGGCTTGACAACTGGCCAATAGGGGTGGTACATCATCGCGTATGCGCTGGGCATCTACCTGTTGAACCTGCTCATTGCCTTCCTGACGCCACGCTTCGACCCGGCCATCAACATTGAATCTGAGGACACGGGTGACGACGCCGCGTTGCCGACCAAGCGCGACGAGGAGTTCCGCCCCTTTGTGCGCAGGCTGCCCGAGTGGAAGTTCTGGTGCGTCGTAGCTGTGTGTGTGTGTGTGTGGGTGGGGGTTTCGTGTGTGTGTGTGTGTGTGTGTGTGTTTTTGTGTCTGTGTCTGCGTATATGTGTGTGTGTGTTTGTGTTTTTGTGTCTGTGTCTGCGTATATGTGTGTGCATGTGCTGTGTGTTTGTGTGGATGCTCCTCTCTCTATGTTTGTGTGTGTGTCTGTGTGTGTTGTGAACTGCCATTGCCGCAGGTACAGTGTGTTGGCTGGTCTGGCGTCCATTCACCCTCTGCGTGCTGCATTTGCAACAACAGGGTGATGGCACAGCGGGCAATCTTTGTTGCGTTCTTTGCCACCTTCTTCAAAGCCTTTGACGTGCCCGTCTTCTGGCCCATCCTCGTGCTCTACTTCATCCTCCTCTTTGTCGTCTCCATGAAGCAGCGCATCGCGGTCCGTCTCGTGTGTCAGGGAGTGTAAGAGAGAGGGAGAGAGAGAGAGAGAGAGAGAGAGAGAGAGAGAGAGAGAGAGAGAGAGAGAGAGAGAGAGAGTGTGTGTGTGTGTGTGTGTGTGTGTGTGTGTGTGTCAATTTATTCGCCCTCCCTCCCTCCCTCCCTCACTCACTCACTCACTCACTCACTCACTCACTTTTTCTTGCACCTCCCCACAGCACATGATCAAGCACAGATACGTGCCCTTCTCAGTAGGCAAGCCCAAACACGCAGGAAAGTCGGTGCGTATTTTTTTGTGCGTGTGTGTGAGCGTTTGCTTTGCATGAATGCAATCTCGGTGTTTGTCTTGCTTGCAGTCTGCCTTGTCGCCTGTCATCACATCATCACCACTTCTGTTTCTCACACAACTCTTGCTCTTGTATCACCACCATTGCTTGCAGGACAAGTGATTCCAGTGCACGCTGTCGTGCATCTGTTTGGCTTCTGCGTGAGACACAGCGAGAGGGAGAGGAATTGCGGAGAGAAGAGAGAGAGCGTTTGCTTTGGGCAAGTGCGTATTGTGCAATCGTTCCCTGTCTTTCTTTCCCGAGTGTGCGTCGTGTGTGTCGTGTGTGGTATTCCTCCTTCGGTCATTTCTTGTCTTCATTCTCACCATCGGTTTCAACCCCTTGCCAGCAACTAGTGACTTCATGGGTCCGTGGTTTGTGCTTTTGGTTGGTTGGATGGTTCGTTCGTTCGTTTGTTCACTTCGCGTACACGCAATCACAAAACACAAAAGCACAAAAGCACGTCACTTATCGAGAGCAAAATTAAGACGAAGAAAACACAAGGGGGCACAAATACACGTGCAACCGTAAGCACACGCAACCACAACAACGCACAAAGCCACAGTGAAAGAGAACAAGACATCATATCATGTGTGCGCGTGTGCGTGTTCATGCTGTGCTGCACCATTATCAGCAGCGCCACAGCCACTCGCTGTAACTCACGTCGAACCATACACATCACAGCAGGCCAGTCATGTTTACGTAACAACCTGACTCACATCAACCAGCAGCAGCAATCACGACTGCGAGTGGAGTGGGGGCGGGCGCGAGCGGCGAGAAAGGCCGACGCGGTAGCGGACGTTTCCTCCAGGGATCTTCACCCCGCCCAAGGGGTTCGAGTCACGCGGCCCTGCAGTGAAATGCCAGTGGTGGTGGTGGTGGCAGTTAGGATTAAGGGGTGGGGAGGCGTGGTGGGAACACAAGGTGTGAGGTCCAAAAACCAAAGCAAGAACACGAAGAAGAACAACAAGAACGAGAAGAACCACAGAACAACCAATGAATCAATCCAATGAATCACGACCGTTGTCGCACCTGCTCGCGAGAGGCCGGATCGCGCTGCCGGCGAGCGAGCAATGGACGATGTTGATGATGGTGATGTTGATGATGACGAGCCCGCCTTTGCTGGCGGTGTGAATCCGTTGCTGCCACGACGAAGACCAACAGACGCAGCGGCAGTCGTGGATGCGGTGGCTGCCTTGGGTGTTGCTGCTTTGGGTGTTGCTGCTGCTGCCTTCTTCTTCTTCTTCGCTGCTGGTGTTGATGTTGCGGTTTTCTGTGTCTTCGCGGGCGATTTCGCTGCTCCCTTTGTCTTCTTCGTCGCTGCACCCGCCGCCGCTGCCGCCGCTGACGGCGGTGTGAATGACGACGACGCTGGTGACGATGGCGATGATGTGGTGGTGGTGGTCGTCGTCGTATTGGTGGTGGTGGTGGTGGTGGTATTGGCGGTATTGGTATTGGTGGCGGTGGTGGTCACTTCATCGGCGTCACCGCCACCGGTCCCCGCTGATGTTTCTGTCTCGGCAGCAGCAGCTGCTGCTGTTGTTGTCTTCTTCTTGCTGCTCTTGGCGGGGGTCTTCTCCTTCTTCTTCTTCTTCGTTGCCGCCGCTTTCGGTGCTGCCGCCTTTGCTTTGCTCTTCTTCGCCTTCTTCTGCAATGTGTGATGTGTATGTATAAGTGTGAGTGTGTGTGTGTGTGTGTGTTGATGTACGTGTGCGTGTAAGTGTGCGTGTGTGTATGTGTGTTGATGGAGCACCACAAGTCTCGCTCTTTCAACGTTGTTTCGTGCGCCGCCCTCTGCATCTTCCTACCTTTGGTTTCTCGTCAAAGTCATCCAGCGTAAAATCCTGCAAATCAGACACACACGCACACACACACACATCAACGCGCAAAAGGCATGTGTTAACGATCAAGAACAGAGAGTGGACGCATAGCAGACATTACCAGTGTGCATGCAAGCAGACAAAACTCAATGCAAACGATCACATGACCACGTGACATACGACCACGCGATACATGGATGCACCTCGCACCTCATCGTCCAAGTCATCAAAGTCTGGTTCAAAGTCACTTCCGGCTGTTGATGAGGGCAGTGAGGATGGACGAACCACATGCGTCAGGCAAACGCAGGAAAACCGGCTGGCATTTATCATCACAGAGGGAGAGGGAGACAAACATGCGCACAAATAAACAAATACACAAACACAGAACACAAACACCCACCCACACACACACACACACACACACCGTCTCCGCCGCCGCCGCCGCCAAACGCCTCCAGTTCCCAGTCGTCATCCTCGTCGTATTTCTTCTTCCGCTTGCGCGTGGATGAGTTGCTGCTCTTCTTCTTCTTTGCCGCTGCCTTCTTTCCCTTCCCCTTTGCCGGCTGCTCCTCGGCCTCCCCCTCTGCAGCTGTCGCTGCGGTGGCTGCCGTGTCGTTTTGTTGTGACGGTGACGACAGCGTCGCTTCGCCATCGTCGGTCTGCTGCTCAGTGCTGCTGCTGCTGCTGCCGCTCACCGCTGTCGCCGTGCCGCTCTCATTGCTGCTCTTCCCTGACACAAACGCGGGGTGCACTGGCAGCGCAGATGCAGGCGCCGTCTCCTGACTCTGTAGTGTGTCCAAAGAACGAAGAAGCGTGAGGAGGCAGCGTGGGGCGGGGGAAGGAAACGACAACCAAAGCACACACACGCACACACACACACGCACACACATACACACAACGCACCGCTGCTTCTTGTTTGGAGAGCTCGATGGCCTTGCGGAGCTGCTCTGCTTCCTCGTCGTTATCCTCCCTGCACAAAAAGGAATGAACACAGTGTGAGATTGATGGCAGCAGGGCATACGCTGCTCGCCGTGCGTGTTGGCAGGAAGCGATGCGTTGACTTACGGCAGTATGGGAGGGTTGACGCTCTTTCGTCGCGGAGGCTTGGTTGGGCTGCTGCTTGTCGAACGAGCGTGCAAGCGTGAGCGTGAGCGTATGTGAGTGAAGAAAACAGGAAGCAGGAAAACCGGGCGTGAACTCAACAACTTCAGGTGTGATTGACAGCAAGGACTTGCAGCAGCAGCAGCACATCAGGACCAACTCACGGCTGTGTTGTGTTGTTGGACTTTTTCCCTGCGCTGGCATCACTCGGCGCAAAGTCATCTGCGACCCACCAGCAGTGGTTGTGGTGAGCCTCTTGGGAATTGCTGACGCAGACAAACAGAGACACAGGGATGCAGAAGACACACACGCGCACGCTCACGCAGCTAGCACCTTCGCTGTTGTAATCCTCATCCAGCATGGCGTAGTTGACCTCCTTCTTGGCCCTGCTTGCGACACACACACGCACACGCACAGAGCAAAGGAAGGTTTGAGGGGAGGGCAGCGGTCAGCAAGCACAGGGAGCACAGGGAGCACAGCAGGCAGCCATGGTCGGCATGCGACACCTTCGCGAGCGACGCGCCATCTTGACAGTTGCAGTTGACCGCCCAAAACAAACGTGCAACGACACGACCAAACAAGAAAAACGGCAGTGGAAAAAGTGCTGACTCAGCAATCGTGAACCGCGCGGTTGTGTGTGCTGCATGCAGGTTGTTGAGGGGTTGTGCTTTTGCCTGTCCTCCCTCCTCTTTCCGCTTTGCTGTCTGCACATGACCAGCAGAGGGATGGCTGTGGTGCCGGCGACGGTGGTTGTGCTGGTGGTGGCCGTCGCGGCTGTTGTGTTGACAGCAGCAACAGTGGTGCCACAGGTAGCCGCAGCACCCGCTGGAGGCGGCCGTGGTGCCAATGCTGATTTCCACAAGCAACGTACCGGCGGCGACAGCTATGTGGGGTTGCTTCAGAATCATGACAGCGAGCGCTCTGCGACGATGAAGCTGCCGTTCACGTGCCCGTCTGTGCAGCTGATGGCGGAGACGAACAAGAAGTCCGCCACGTCCAAGTGCACGGGGGAAATCCCCGTCATCAACGACAAGGACATCAACAAGCTGCGGCGCCCGGATCGCGATGTTCCCATGCTCAGCCCGGACCCGCGTGCCTTTCACACGGGAGTGCACGCCTACCACCCTCGCACCCGCAAACCCGTGCTGGTGCGACGCTGTGTGTGTGTGTGCTTGTGTGTGTGCTTGTGTGTGTGTGTGTGTGTGTGTGTGTGTGTGTGTGTGTACGTATGCATGTGTTTGTGCTTGTGTGTGTGTGTGTGTGCTTGTGTGTGTGTATGTGTGTGTGTGCTTGTGTGTGTGTGTGTGTGTGTGTGTGTGTGTGTGTGT